CTCCCGATCTCCTCGCGCACGAGCTGACTCACGGCTACAATGCGTACCGAGTGTGGCGAGGGCCGTGGGGCGAGGTGATGAGCGACATCGGCGGCGAGGCTTTCGAGGCCTGGCTCAAGGGCAAGGCTGACTTTATCCGAGGGCCGGAGACCTGCCGCCTCGCCTCGTGCACCGTCGCTGAGGTGGAGGAGCCGGAGCTGGACATGAAAGGCCCCATCGTGGGAGACCTCGTGGCAACGGCGGAGAAGGAGGCGCACGCGGGGGCGCTCTTGCTGGGGCGCATTTTTTACCACTCGATCCAGCCGGTAGAGGGCTTGGTGCCGCCCGAGGGCTGGGTGACGTGCCCCACCAAGATGTACAAGGTGTGGATCGAGGCGTCCAAGGCGTGGATCGCGGGCAAGCCCGTCCTGAGCGAGTCTGGCGGGACGCTAACTAGCCCGCAGTGGGTGGAGCTATACAACCACAAGTACTTTGCGGAGATCCTCGTCGAGACGGCGAGGGCGATGCTCATCCCGCGGCAGGCGAGCTTCATCGAGGAGAGCCTGAGGGCGATCAATGCGTACAGCCAAAAGCTCGCCCCCTCAACGTCAACCTCGCTCATCCACGCGGGCTCGACGCCATCCACGATGCGATCGATCTCTTGGTGGCCACTCTGACGCACGGAAGGCGGCGGGGCGAAGGCGATGGCGTGCGCGAGACTTTGCGCGAGCGAGACAGTTGTTTTTCGAGACGGGTTTCACGGCGTCGGCGGTCGTGGTTTTGCTTTTTTTGGTGTTCATTGTTCGGTCTTTTCGGAATTCGCCACATAAAACGCCCACACACTGCTCTGACCGAGTATATGACTCATATTTCAGCAGTCTCCCCCGGCCGGCCTATCGTCGGCTATCTCTCTCAGTCATCCCTCGAGCGCCCCGATCGCCTCCGTCACCGCGGCCACGAGCCGCGACGCCTCCCGCTCGCTGCGCGGCCCGTCCCTCCTCCACCTCGCCGCGTCGTGGTGCCTCGCCGCGTTCGCCCAGATGCGCAGCGAGTGCAGCTGGCTCCGCAGCTCGGTCGGCAATCCGCACTCGCGGTGCCAAAAGTTGATGCGCTCCTCGAAGCCGTCGGGCGCCGCCGCAGAGCGCGAGGCGTAGACGGCGTCGAGGCGCGGCATCAGCGTCTTGAAAGCGAGCATCATGTTGTCCTGGATGCGCGCCTGCGCGTCGCCGCCCGTGCGCATGCCGCGCACCTGCACCGAGAGCGGCGAAGGCTCGTAGCCGGTGGTGCGGGCGGCTGCCGCAGCGGCCTCGTCTCCAGGTGCCGGCGCAGCCTCCTCCACCCCCGCCCCGCGCTGCGAGCCAGACAGCAGCGCCCGGAGAGCTAGCAGCGCCTCGGGCAGCGTGGGCCTCTTGCGCAGGCTGTCGTGGCAGAGGCTCTTCCCGTCCGCCTTGGCGAGGTCCTTGACTGCGCGCGCCGCGTCGACTGGCCAGCCCGCAGCCACGTCGGCGAGCTTCGCCGCGTCGATGTCGGTCCAGTCCTCCTCGAACTCGTCCTCGCACCGGTCGGTCAGCTGCACCTCGGACCGGTTAGTGAGGCAGACGAGGAGGGTGATGCCAATGGCGTAGCCGTCCGTCTTGCTCGAGTACTCGCCCCCCTTGGAGATGGAGGGGCAGAGGTAGCCCGTGGACATGTAGAGGGCAGTCGAGCGGCGGCGGACAGACGCGTCGGGACGCTGGTCCTTGGCGAAGCCCGTGTCAGCCAATACTGCGGTCAGCTTCTCGTCGAGCAGGATGTTGTCCGGCTTGACGTCGCGGTGCACGATGCCCTTCGAGTGGAGGTAGACGAGCGCCTCGGTCGCCTCGCAAGCAATGCGAACGCGCTGCCGCCACGTCAGCGGCCTCGGCGCCTCTTCCATGCCCAACCGCCGGAGCTGCGCAGCGCGGTCGGGATCCGAGAGGCGCAGCCGCGCCTCGAGCGAGCCGCCGCGCATCAGCGGCGAGAGGAGGCAGACGCCGTCGGGCGAGAGGCAGTAGCCGAGCAGCGGCAGCAAATGCGGGTGGCTGACCGCCTTGAGCAGCTTCACCTCGAGCTCCGCCCGCGACAAGCCGCCCGACTGGCCCGACTTTGCCCGCTTGACGACGAGCGGCAAGTGGCGCAGCTGCGGAGGCGCGGCGAGGGAGAGGTGGAGGTCGGCCGACGCCTCGTAGACGTGACTGAAGCCGCCGCTGCCAATCAGCTTCCCGTCGGCGAACCCGTCGGTAGCCGCGGTGAGGTCCGACAGGGCTAGCTCGACTGGCCGAGCAAAAGCCGCCGCGGCCGGCTCGGAGGCGACAGACAGCTCTTGCAGCCGCGACTCTGCCGCGCTCACCTCCTCCTCCAGGGCAGGCAGCGCGCCCACGTGCGGCCGGGCGGCGGCGATGCCCGCTCGGAGCGCGGAGGGGCTGTCCGCTGTGTCGAGCGACTTGAGCGCGCCCATCGCCGCGCCGTGCGCCTTGCGCAGCCGCTGGCTGTCCCGCCTCCGCGCCTCCTTGAGCTTGTCGCGCACGCGCCTCGCCTCCGCCAGCACGGCCGGGCTCGCGAGGCCGCTGCACGCCTCCAGCGCGCTGGCCACGCCCTCGTACGAGCCAGCGGCCACGGCCTGCTGCAGCGCCTCGTCCGCCGCGGCGATGGCGGCTGCGTCGGCCGGAGGAGATGCTGGCGGCGGGGTTGGCGGCTGCGATGCGGCGGTGGCGCTGGGGCCAGATGCCGCATTGTCTGCCTCACCACCGCCGCTCTTCTTCTTCTTCTTCTTGCCCTTCTTGTTGGAGCGCTCCTCCTTCTCCGCCTCCTCCTCCGCCAGAAGCGCCTCGGCATGCCGCGCCGCCTCCGCCTCCGCCGCCGCCCTCTCTGCCTCCCTCGCCGCCGCGGTCTCCGCCGCCGCCGCCGCCGCATGCTCCTCGATGACGCGCACGCACTCGGCGTGGCCGTTTTCCTTGGCACACTGCAGCGCCGTCATGTTGTTCTCAGCGCGCACCGCCGCGTCAGCGCCCGCCCGCAGCAAGCGCCGCACGACGGCGGGGCGGTTGAAGAGGGCGGCGCTCATCAGCGCGGTGAAGCCTTTCTTGTCCTTCTTGTCGATCTCCGCGCCGTGCTGCAGCAGCAGCTCGACCACCCGCTCGTGGCCGTTGTTGGCGGCGCACATCAGCGCGGTGAAGCCCATGCTGTTCTGCATGTCGACCTCCGCGCCGTGCCGTATCAGCAGCTCGACCACCCGCTCATGGCGTTCCTGGGCGGCGAACATCAGGGCGGTGTAACCGTGGCTGCTCTGCAGGTTGATCTCCGCGCCGCGCCGTATCAGCAGCTCGACCACCCGCTCGTTGCCGTTTCCGGCGGCGAGCATCATCGCGGTGACGCCGCTGCTGTGCTGCATGTCGATCTCCGCGCCGTGCTGCAGCAGCAGCTCGACCGCCCGCTCGTGGTCTTCCTGGGCGGCGTACATCAGCGCGGTGTAGCCGCTGCTGTGCTGCATGTCGATCTCCGCGCCGTGCTGCAGCAGCAGCTCGACCGCCCGCTCGTGGCCTTCCTGGGCGGCGAGCATCAGCGCGGTGAAACCGTCGCTGTCCTGCCGGTTGACCTCCGCCCCGCGCTGCAGCAGCAGCTCGACCACCCGCTCGTGGCCTTCCTGGGCGGCGAGCATCAGGGCGGTGTTGCCGTCGCTGTCCTGCTTGTTGATCTCCGCGCCTCGCCGCAGCAGCAGCTCGACCACCCGCTCGTTGCCGTTTCCGGCGGCGAGCATCATCGCGGTGATGCCGCTGCTGTGCTGCATGTCGATCTCCGCGCCGTGCTGCAGCAGCAGCTCGACCGCCCGCTCGTGGCCATGCTGGGCGGCGGCCATCAATGCAGAGCTGCCGCTCGCCCCGCCGACCGCGTTGACCCGCCCGCCGCTGTCGAGCCACGCCAGCAGCGCCGCCTCGTCGCCTCGCACAGCAGCTTGCCAGGCCTCTTCAGGAAGGCTGTCCAATGAGCTGGAGGAGGCCGCGGCACTCGCTCCCGCCTGTGCCTCGCCTGGGGAAGCGCCGCCCGCGCCGCCCGCCGCTGCCTCGTGCCGGCTCGCAGTCACCTCCGCGACGTGCTGCCGGAAGGCCTCGACGCACGCGGCGTGGCCGTTCTCCTTTGCCAGCTGCAGCGCGGACTGGCCGTGCACAGAGCGCAGCTTCGTATCCGCGCCCGCCCGCAGCAAGTGGAGCACGACGGCGGGGTGGCCTTCGAAAGCGGCGAGCATCAGCGCGGTCCAGCCGTCGCTGCTCTGCTTGTTGATCTCCGCGCCTCTAAGCAACAGCTCGACCACCCGCTCATGGCCGCAGCGGGCGGCGAGCATCAACGCGGTGTTGCCGTCGCTGTCCTGCTTGTTGATCTCCGCGCCTCGCCGCAGCAGCAGCTCGACCACCCGCTCGTGGCCTTGGCTGGCGGCGAGCATCAGCGCGGTGATGCCGCCGCTGTCCTGCCGGTTGATCTCCGCGCCGCGCCGTATCAGCAAGTCGACCACCCGCTCGTGGCCTTTGTTGGCGGCGGCCATCAGCGCGGTGATGCCGATGCTGCTCTGCAGGTTGATCTCCGCGCCGCCGCGAATTAGAAGGTCAACCACCCGCTCCTCACCGTGGCTGGCGGCAGTATGCAGCAGCGTGAAGTAGCTCTTACCGTTAAACTGCGCCGCGTTCACCTGGCCGCCGCTGCTGAGCCACTCCCGCAGCACACCCACCTTGCCCGCTTTTGCCGCCTTCACGACGTTTGCTGGCGCCTCACGGGGCGATTCCGCCGGCGGCGAAGCGGCTGGCGAGGGCATGTGGTGTGTACTTGTTACGTGAAAACCCGCTGGGAGTGTTGTACACCGAGGCAGCGCACCTAGGCGTGCCAGCTCGTTTTCTCTCTTTTTCTCGGCCTCTTAATTTTTGAGATTTTGTAAGATAAAATGAACTCGGGGGCACGGGACGCGGCACAAACGGGGCACAAACTCCAGGTAAAATTTTTGTTTTTTGGCGTGGATGCGGGCGCTGCTTTGGCGCGGCGCGCTCCTCCCGCTCCTCCTCCACTCCGTCCCCGCCCGAGCGCCGTACCCGAAGTCGCGCGCCAACAGCCCTAGCCGCCTGCCTCTGACCGACCCTCAGCGCGTCGTGGCGCGCGCCCTCTCCCGCTCGGCGCTCTCGGACGTGCCGGCCACCTCGCTGCTGGCAGAGGTGCCGCAGGGGGAGCCGCGCGCCCGGCTGCTGCGGGCAGCCATCGAGCTGACCGACCCACGCCAGTGGCGGGCGGCCATCGCGCTGCTGCGGGCGATGCCGGCCAGCGGCGCCGGCCCGCCGACGACGGTCGCCTACAACCTCGCGATGCGGGCGTGCGTGCGCGGCGGCGCGTGGGAGACGGCGCTCGAGCTGGTCGAGGAGATGGCGGCGCAGCCCGGCGGCGCGGCGCGGCCGTCCGCCCACTCCTGGGGCACCGCCATCGACGCGTGCGCCAAGGGAGGCGACTGGCGGCGCGGGATCGAGCTGCTGCACGGGATGCGAGCTGCAGGCGCCGTCCGGCGGAGCAAGTGGTGCGGGGAGATGCGAGGAGCGAGCACAGCCTTGTGAGTGGTTGCCTGCCAGGCGTCGAGCCGACGGTGCAGTGCTACGGCGCCGCGATCGCCGGCTGCGCCTCACGCGGGGAGTGGCGGCCGGCGATCGCTCTGCTGCGCGAAGCGCAGGCCGCGAGCCACCAAGCCTCCGAGCATCGAGCAATCTCGGGGACTCTCGGGTACTCTCGGGTAACGCGTGCGGTGATCTCGCAGGCCGAGCCGCTGGTCCCAAGCATCGAGTGCTACAACGCGGCTCTGGCCGCTTGCGAGAAGGGCGGCGCGCCGGACAGGCGTGTGCGACACTTCCTAGACACTTCCCAGACACTTCCTGGACACTTCCCAGAGACCGGCGCCGGACAGGCGCGTGAGACACAGTCAAGACACACAGCCATGCGGACACAGCCATGACACACAGTCATGCGGACACACCGACCTGCACACTGCACACGCACATGCACATGCTGTGCTCTGGTAGACTGCGGTGGGACTCACAGGCTTGCCAGGGGTTCGCGCTCCTCGCGCAGCTGTACCGCACCACCCACGGGACCTGAACCCACACTGGATTCGATACTCTGGAGGTATGGGACTAGGGCGCTCGCGCTCCTCGCGGAGCTCGGCGAGGGCGAGCTCAATCGCGGCAGGCGGGCGGCGGGCGAGGGAGGGAGAGGGAGAGGAGGAGGAGTGGGAGGAGGAGGAGGCGGCGGCGGCGGCGGCGGCGGCGGCGGAGTAGGAGGAGGAGGAGGAGGAGGAGGCGAGGCGAGGCGGCGGCGGCGGCGCGGCGGCGGCGCGGCGCGGCGGCGGTTGCCGCTCCCCGACACGGTGAGCTACGCGACGGCGATGCGGTCGGCTGCGAGGAGCCGAGAGCACTGGCGCGAGGCGCTGCGCCTGCTCGATGTCATGGCCAGCCGCGGCGTGCGGCCGAACGCGCACGCGTACGCCGCGGCGGCGGTGGCGTGCGAGACTGGCGGCCGGTGGGAGGTTGCAATCTCGCTCCTCGACCGGATGCGCGAGCAAGGTCTGCGTGCGAGCGTCATCGTCCATTCTACGCATTCATTACTGGCTTGATTGATTGCTTGATTCAGGTCTGCCTCCGAGCGTCATCGTCTATTCGGCGGTCATGGCGTGCTGTGGCGCCGAGGGGCGGTGGGAGGAGGCGCTGCAGCTGCTCGCCGCGATGAAGGCGGAGAGGCTGGCAGTCGATGTTCCCGCAGTCAACATTGCGATTTCCGCGTGCGCCCGCGGCCGCGCGTGGCGGGAGGCGTTGCTGCTCCACGAGCAGCTGAGAGCGTGGTGCAGCTCTGCCGAGGGGCGGCGCGGCGGCCAGATGCTGACTGAGCGCACGTGGGGCGCCACCATCGGCGCGATGTACAAGGGCGGGCAGTGGAGAAAGGCGGCCGAGCTGGTCGGCGAGATGCGGCGGGACGGGCTCGCGCCCAACCTCGCGTGCTACACGCCCGCGCTGGCCGCGTGTGCCGATGCGGCGGAGTGGCGGCCAGCGCTCGAGCTGTGGGAGAGCTTGCTGCGAGACGGGATCACGCCCGACGCGCTCGCCGCCGGCGCGGCGCTCGACGCTTGCCTCGCGGGGAGGGTGCCGCAGTCGGGCCTGGCCGTCGTCGAGCTGCTGTGAACAGCGTCTCTTCACACCTCTAGCTGTGAACAGGTGCCGCAGTCGGGCCTGGCCGTCGTCGAGCTGCTGTGAACAGCGTCTCTTCACACCTCTAGCTGTGAACAGGTGCCGCAGTCGGGCCTGGCCGTCGTCGAGCAGCTCGAGCAGGCTTATTAAGTAGCTAATTCATAGTTAATTAGTAGTTAATTAGCCTAGCTGTCGTCGAGCAGGTGCGCACGCGCCGACCGCCGCGCCGCCTCTTCACCCGCGCCGAGGCTGCCGCCGCGCTCGCCGCCACCCCCGCGCCGCCCAATGACACGCCGCCGCCGCTGCCGCCGCCGCCGCCGCCGCCGCCGCCGCCGCCGTTGTCGCTGCCACTGTCCGCGTCGCCGCGCGAGGCGGCGGCGCTGCTCAACGACTGCTGCTCGCTGCTCGACTCGCTGCAGCGGCACGGGCGCTGCTTGGCCTCGCCTAGAAGCGAGACAGAGGCTGTGAGAGAGACCACCTGAGAGCAGGCACGGCGCGCCGCTCGGTCTCGTCTCCTTTGGCGCCGTCATCGGGGCGGTCGAGCATTGGGGGCTGGGCGAGCGCGTGCGCGCGCTGCTGCTGGCAGCAAACAGCGCCCAGCAGCAGCAGGAGGCGAGGGCCTCTGCGAGGGCGTCCGCAGCGGAGGGCGAGGCGCGCGGGGGCGATGTCAGCGCGAGTACCGAGTGATTAAATTCCGCGCGGATGAAAGGCGTGTACGGGGTGGCTGAGCCCTCGAGCTCTTCCGATAGCCCTAAAATAGAGGGCCCACAGCGTCCCCCCCTCCCCCCGGGTTCGAACTGGCAGCCACTCGCACCAAGAAAGGGCGCTGGCACGCAGCCGCCACGAGAGGAAGCGAGAGATGTACTCACATGGGCGAGTGGTGACCTATGTACGGGTGTGCCTGTGTGTTGCCCGATGCAGGTGGGGGTCAGTTTTGCAGGCCTGTCAACTCGAACCCAAGAAGAGCTGGAGGCAGTGAAGAGCATGCCAGAGCTTGGCCATTTGAGTGGCGAAGACTTTGAGGGCTACTGCGACGGCTGGCTCGAGCAGGGGCACCGCCCTGAGGTCTCTGACTGGGCGTCGGTTCGGCGCATCGACATTGTCACCTTTGCTGAGTCCATGGATTCAGAAGCCCGATGCTTCAACCCGACATTCCCGCCCGCCGCCCTAGCCGACGCCGCGAGCAGGGAGTGGTCGCCGTCGCCCTTCCCGCCA